TTCTCATCGTGCCCGGTGTGCCTGCCTGGCACTCAATTCGCAGTCTACAATAACTGACTCACGGAAGACCAATATAACAAATTCCTCTAGGAGGATTTTTCACCGGTGATCTTTCATATAATGTGCGAAGCAACTTAAAATCGATAAATTTGCAAAATTAATCAGCACCCGATCAGTGCATTGCAACGAATACGTGGGAGTAATGAATCCATTGCACTTAATCTTAACATGCTGTGAATCCTTGTTCTTATCCACTTTGCGAGTGACGATGAAACACGTACAGCTTTATACGTGGCATCTTAGTCGTTCAGTCATCACTGCATACAGATATCATATCGGTGTGGTTTGGCAGGCATATGGCAATACACTGATTATGTGACATACACTAAGTACCCAGTCATTCAGATATCACGTACAATCTAAAGCTTATACAGAGAAACGAGTTCACGCGAGCAAATTTGAAGCTTATTTGGCACATTTGAGCAAATAACAAAGATGATAAATCATAATAGATTGTATTTTCTAAACACTAATCTGATTTTACGTCTTCATTTTTTTAAATAAACACTTTTTTCAAAATTACATTTTAAAATATGTCAGCGGACATTGTAACATTAAGCTAGTGCCTTTACTGAGTTGTTTATAAAATTTTTAATTGTTTACGGGTAACAAATAAATCATTTGCTATTATATCTATGAGACGCCCACGTTTAATCACAAAATATTTCAAGAAGTGCGTTCAACTGGTGCCTGCTTATTCTCTTCTAGAACTTTGCAATATAATACTGAAATGCACCAAATGATAATCTATCATTTAGTTTGTCTATGCAATTTGAGGTTATTTAGACTCGATCGACCTTCCCATGTACAACCTCTAGTCCATTTATCTTACTCCACCTCAAGACACCTCCTTATAACTGCGAGGTCTTAGTGATAGAAGACATTGCTAATGTTCTGGCCGGTATGGCAATGTCTAGAGACATAAATGGTTTTAAATCTGTTCCTTGGGGCGGGATTATGAGAATATGGCATCGTAAGCAATCGATCATTGCACACGGATACCATGTCTAATCATAGGAGACTGGAAACCGTTGTTCTATTCAATGTTCGATCAGGGTCTTCATAGAGCTGTGTTTTTGCATCCTTCTTAGAGATCCCAATTCCTGGCAGCACAGCCCCGATACCATGCATATGCTAACAAGGCTATTATATGATTAAGATCCAATTCCATTTATATTTCAATCATTTGTCTTAATTTTCGTACCGGACATAGAAATGCATGAGCACATTGGATTTTTCCCCATTACTGGCAATGTTTCCTCAGCAGTGGTATTATCATGAAATCGTGTCATTCATCTTCTTGCAGTCTGTCTGTCTAACATGGTAACAGCACAAGATGTGCGCCGACAAGAATGTTGCGACCTCATTAACTGTGTGAAAAAAAGATTTTGGTTATATTTTGAAGACGCATTAAATGCTCTTGTTCATGTCCACCATAACCTTCTAATTTTTATTTCCTGCCTAAATTGTAACAGTCAGATATGCTGTACTGTCATGTTCAGTCAAGTTCTTAATCGAAATGTCATGCTGCATAACAAGCAAAACGATGACATTGTTTACGACACGCAGCAGCCTTTCAAGATGTGAAGAGAGGTCAAGAAGAATTCCAGGCGTCTTATGTAATGATTATATATATATAAAAAGAAACAAAAAGATAAATTAGAATAAAAATAAATCTAAATGTTTGGAAAATTGAGGTTTGAGTTTAATACTGTACTGCACTGTTCTCCTAAACGTGCCTGGAATCCATTTGGCCAAAAATTCGATTTCATTTTGGCCATCCGTACACAGAAGAACGTATTTTTAGAGAATGTACTTTTGAAGATATATATCTACTCTTGGGCCGTTAGTTAAATCGATTTTACCAGAACAACTGAGATGGTAGATAATGAAGCGTCTAAGTCTATATTTAAGAGAGCACCGTCGCATTTTTTTTTCTTTTTTTAACATTCCCTCGTTTGAAGATAACTCCGATATTTTTTGACTTTATGTTTATACAAGCATAACCTCTATCAAACAGTGGTACTGATTCTATGGAATTTCCCAGACCGCTTCGTGTGCATTTGTCATTGATCTCTAACCCCGAGTACATTAAGTAGACAGAAGTCTCTTGAAAATATATTGATGAAACGCATTTGATGCTTGCACACTGAATTAACCCCGTTATGTAAGTGCGTTTTAGATCTGTTTGAAAACGTGTTGCACGAAAGGCAGAACGGCAATGGCCAGACGTTGAGAACATACACATCTGTTGTACCTCAAAGAACCATAGTCGCGGCGGTGCTGGCATGTCTGGTCGACTACAGTATATCACTTGCACTGAAAAGTCGATCGTTGTTAAAAGATTCTTCTTTTCAATTTGTTCAAAAAGGGTAAATGGCAGTAGATGTTTTCAGTCATTTTTACTGGAATACTATGTAAGTGTGGTTCTATGAAAAAAATACACAAGCGCAAACATGCGCGCGAGTTTGCACGCCGTTTAATAAGTAGACCGAATCATTCCAGTTTAATCTCGATCGCGAATCCATAGCATTCACCCTGGAGGTCTCCATCACACACGGCTAAGTGCTTCTAAATTCTTCTCAGAACGTCAACACCCCGCGTTCTCAAGTCGAGATATTCAATTAGACACAGGTCTATTGATCAGATAGTGACAGCTGTAGATTTAGACCCCGGGATATTCCTTCACTACTTGTTAAAATTGCAAAGACAAATGAGTCAATGATGGTTTAGAGTTTTTGGCTGTCGCTCTCATTTTGTCTTTTCTAAAACATCCGTATTTTTCTTGTCGGTGGCAGCTGTAATACCATTTATTGCAGAAATATGGAAACTATTTTTTAAAAAAAAAACTTTCGGTCTGAAAAGGTATTCGCCATCTTAAGGTTCTTGAAGACAATAAAACACTGACAAACTATCTCCCCCTGGAGTAAATCATAAATGGGCATCAGTTGGTAACCAGCCGAAGCAATGACGTAGCTTTTGGCAAACAAATTGAAAGTGGAAGTCGCTTGGATTGCACTATAGTTGTCGGAGTCCTTCGGTAATTATTTGTTTGAAATTGACGATGAGAAGGAGAGGGAGTCGGTATTGGAATGGGGTGTCATTCAAGCGCCTAGACTCCGAGATATGGTCAGCATAGACCTCGTAACCTCGTACTACTGGCAGTTTTCTGGTCAACCCATAAGTTTGACCACAAATAATAAGCTCGTCTCGTTCGATAGTATATGAGCCATCATTAATTATTATTTAGACAATCCCGCTGCTCACGAAACCAATTTTAATGAATATTGCAAACATGATGGCGTTGCACTGAAATTTCCCTCTGGACCATGCGATCTCTCTCAGCTCATTACTATCTGGGCATCATACTGAAAGAGGTTGAAAGTTAAACCATGCTTGAATATGAGGTATTGCTGCGGGTTGTTTCATGCATATATGTATATATGCCTTACATGGTATGTCTAATTTGTAGACAGATTTCCCAAAGGAAACATACTTGAAACTTTCTTCCTTGTGTTTCCACAGTCTTTCAATGATTCAAAGCATAAACATTCCTCTCGGTTTGAATTTGTATCAATCAAATACTGGCGACTTAACAAAATGATGGCTTACATAAGTTCACCACAAAATGCAAATTTACTGAAGATCTTGCTTGTCATGAAAGAATGAGGACGTTGTTTTCAAAAGAAGGCTCTTGATCAGCTGCTGTTGTGAAAATTTTACGCTGATTCAAATACATTGCACCACCGTTCCCAAACATCAACTTTGTAAAAGTATGCAATATATTATGATAGGCAACTGTGATTTAAATTTCATTCAATTCATTTCTCAGCTTTCAGTGTTCTCAATCTGAAAAAAAGAATCATTAATCTAGGTATTCTAACCCGTCGAGCCTTTAACCAAAAAAGACATTCATACAAATACACCATGCTTGTGTCCTGGCTTGATACTTCCGGTCATAGCCTTAACCCCATTCGGAGCCTTGACAACGACAACTATAGAAGACAATAGTGCCATTATGTTTAGAATAAACGGTATCTGATATGACATGAGAAGCCGGAGTCGATCGATACTAAGTAGATGTTTTAGGATAGCGGTATTGGAAAATAAGGCACTGTTCTTTCGCATGGTTTGTGACGCCCTTCTAACTCATTAATAACGCTACGAACGTGTTACCATTAGTTGCATGTTGTGTGCTTTTAACTTTTATATCTTGCATTTTGGACACTGTTTGAATATTACAATAGAGATTTTTAAAAGGCTAATTACGCAACGTTACCATCAAGAACACAATAGAATCGAGGCAATACCATTCCAACAAGCGGAATACTGTTTTCTATATATAATATCAACATGCAATTGCATGATAAATACTTGCACAATTGTTTAATCACTTGAAGACAAATGCTTATGACATTTATAGTTATATCAACTAGCCTTATACTAAAATAAATACAAGAGACAAGCAGCAAACACAGACTCAGGACTTTGGCGTCCGAATCCTCGTCATCAGAGGTAATTTGTCTATCAAGTGGACTGGACGCCGAGTGTGACCTTTTCAATTATGCTCTTGACAATTAAAAATGCCATGAAGTGTGGATAACAGGTTTAGAAAAAAATGTAATGGATTACTTATCTACCCACGTTACATCAGGAAATTGTGCCCTTTACAATATCTGTGAGGATGTTAGATGTCGCATGTTGTTTTGATCGTCACTTCGTAAGTATGCAAACTTGTATGTGGAGCATTATTCACCAGAAAAATACCAGCCTGAGGGCTGCATCGTATTAATGAAATTAAGACCGTTTATTGTCTTCGAGTTAACTGATCCCTTCCTGAAATAAAATCTCCCAAGGCGTGTGAATGGCCCTTGAAGTAAGCTCGATAATTCTCTATCACAGACAATATATTCACCTGCATTGATGGTTCTCATGCCTACCTTTTGAATAAAAAACGCTCTGGTTCCACCATTGGCAATCTGCGTCGTAGGGGTCGTAGCTTTGGACCCCTCCGCGGCTTTTGGCCCGGGGACACGCTCTGGGGCGTCTTCTTCCTTCGGTGACGGCATATCAGCAGTCTTGTGGCTAAGCAGTAGAATTCACACTCTGAGCTCCGTTTGTTTTTACCTGTGCCAGTGATCCGTTACTGTTCCATATGCAATGTATTAAGTTCGTGTCGTATTGATCCTGCTGTGAGCGACTGCCTGACGTGCCAGAGTAAAGCAGGCCGCGGTAGTCTAGAATACACAACCTGCTCACTGTGCTACGTCTGAACGGGTTTAGTGCTCCAGCTATCTACTTCTCATTTCAAGTAACCTCTTTCAGAAAGATTCCTTGCGTAAGGTCTCGCATCTCACGGGATTCCAAGTTTCTAGGGACATAATTATAGGTTGTTAGAAATGAAGAATTGATTAAGATGGCTTTAGTGCTTGTATGTTGTCTATGACGTTGGAATAAACGAAGCCAAGATATTCTGACAAAAATATCAATTCTTTTTTTTCTGTCCATTAATGGGTCTATTGACTCGTAAATTACGTTCAGGCTCGTAAAGCATAGTGAGGATTATTGCCTACCACCGACGGTTCCGCACATTAGAAGTCCCTTTTATAACTTCCTGCTCGGCTTTGACCACTTTGAGTAGCAGGGATATTAACTCTGATGAACTAGTGCACTGTATCGGCCGTCGTATTGTCTCTAATGCTGAAAGAGTTGTCTCCCTTGAGACAGTTGCAATCGGCATCATTTTTTCAGACCACATGAAGATGAGATTAAAAAAAAAAGCTGAAAAAATGTATCGTCATTTGCTCAACACCATTTTTACTGATGTATTCTCGTTGTTGCTAACATACAGAATTTCTCATTTGGTACGTGATAGAATTAAAATATCATAATAAAAATTATTTTGGGTGTTTTATCTGCGCATATTATTGACCGTCAATCCAAGAAATCATATCAAGATATCATGCAAACAAACATTCCATTTACAGTAACAAACCGATACTTTGTTTAAAAGTCGAGGAAAGAATCTGTTTGTTTTTAAACAGTATTAATGCCAAATAAAATAAAATAAAATAAAATAAAATAAAATAAAATAAAATAAAATAAAATAAAATAAAATGTTTATTAAACTTGATGTCAATCCTCCCTATTATAGATTGGAAAATCCCTTGAAAACTCTTTTAATCGAGAGATATGTGTTGTAAATATATATTAAGTAGGGCCTATATATAGATTCACATAACCATGGAACCTTTGTAGATGATGGGTCCAAGGGAAGGCACAGTCCCTGATTTTCATCCCCCCCCCCCCCCCAAAAAAAAAAAAGATAAATATAATTTTCCATGACACTAATTTTTATCCTTGTGTCATTATTCTTGTATCAAAGGACACAAGAGCACAAAAGTGTGGAGTAAGCCACACGTCACGTGATTGGGGTGACATGTGCCTCAAAAAAATCTTAACTGTAATTCCTGTTACACCGGCTAACGCTGAAATTACTCGCATATACCGTCAGATCTACTCGTCCTTCAGCACAGTTTCACAAGAAAAAAATGAACATCAGACTTAGAAATTTTGTATTTTTCAATGCAGCATAAATCTGCAGAAATCCCATCAAATAAAACACTGGTCTGAAATAGAAGTCATTTCATATTTGTTCATAGTAGACTCGAGTTTTCAGCGAAGTGATGATTTTTGTAACGCCACAAATTTCATGCACTTACACCTATTGCTTGCCTACCGAGTTGCATGGCTTAAGCACCAGTTACTGCTTTACTAAACTAAGGGGGGGGGGGGGGGTGAATTTTCACCTTACGAAGATAGGCTTTATACAACGATAACGGAAGGAAAGGTCCAAGACAGAAATTCCATTTACCACCCCTGAAAAGGTATAGTTAACGGTTTGTTACCAAAATAAAGCCGAACTGAACGGCACCATACATCTTAGATTCCACGTAGTAACTGCAGTAATTGTGAAGAAAAATCAGGATAAACATCGAAGGCTTTTCAACAAGATTAATATTTGTCGAACAAAATTGCACACATTTAAAGATAGTTTAAGAAATGGCAACGAGAAAGCGATTCAAGTCCGTCTCAATGAAGTATCTCACAAAATTAAGCGTCTCTTGACAAAATCCATTTACTGCAAAAGGTGTGGTAAAAAAAGAATATGTCGTATAAGTCTTTACATTACAATTTTAGTATCATTTCTAAGATATGTAAGTTGTCTGTACTGGAGTCTTGTATCTACAGATTTGCATCTATACTGCAATATGAGCACCCAGCTGAATGCTGGAGATCTGCTAATATTATCCCACAAGTCGAAATACTGCCTCGTGTACAGGATACTTTTTTTAATTAAAAATTACGACGGCACAATAAAAATACGAATTTGATTCAAAAGCAAACCTTTGCATGGACTTTTTCATCAAACACTATAAATGACGAAAACCACTAAATTGCACACAGCACCGCAAATTAAAAAATATATATATTGATCACGACACGGAATATATTCTGAAAGCAATGCTTCTGCAGAAACAAACAACTAATATGTTGCATGTACCAATACATTTTATTACACCAAAGATTTTGTGTACGATTATTAAAATACCCGACAAAAACATAATGCACACATAGATAACATACAAATTATTTACAAATAAATTTACCATTGGTGATCTAAAATTACAAATTTACACTGAAAAAAATACAAGAGCATGTCACATCCAGAAACAGAATTATAATCAACAGATAATGTCAACCTAAAATAGTTAAAATATAATTACTAGTCCACACATCTCAAAGTTGTAGTAGCAATCTCTTATAAGCACAGCATGCTGGTCCCGATAGTGACCAGAACATGTTGATGGTTTTAGAGTTTTGAAGTGATTGACCCTTCATCATATCTTGCACCTTGAAACAACCAAGTAGCACAAGTCTTTTGAGCAAAACAAAACTTAGAGATCAAATTGCTATACACCACAAACAAAGATATACTTACTGAACACATTATGTGAATATATCCATATAAGTTAGGTTTCAGAATCGATAAAAACTATACATAATTATCTAAGAATTTGAGTTCTACTCTTGGTAAACATTGATATTGGCAGTGATTACAAAATATACTTTACATATGCTATGCATTGTTTATTATTACTGGTTAGTTGTATAAAGTTACAAAGTATCAAGAACCCTGATATATAATTCAAAAACTTGATTTTCATCAAGTTAGGTTGTATATAATCATAACATTAAGATTTTTTTTTTGTAAATGCCTATTATTTTGTTGTTGATGCCTATCTGGAGAAGATAGTTGAAGAAACAATTGTGTATAAGGTTAAAATGTAACATCTTCAAACAAGGAATCCATGGGTAAAACTTCTAACTCTTTAAGATATAACTACCATCTAAACTACAGTAAATGACAATGGAAATCTACCAGTCAAAAAGGGTTTCTTTTACAACATTTCTAAAAAATCAGTTAAAACCAACAAGTGCACCCCATAAACCCTTCTCCCCATTCAGTGAATAAATAACAAAACACAATGGAAGATGTCCCATGGTCTATAAAAGTACTGTTTCATATAAGAACTATAAAAACAGTTATAAAAAACTATGAACATCTCAATCTCATATGAATACATCTCAACATCCAAGATAAACAAAAGCTAAAATCAACAAACAGAATGAAAGACTATCAAAAACATGACAAATCCATGACTTAATCAACAGATATATCATCGGAGTCTCCCACATATAGAAAGAGAAACAAAAGCTGACTTCAGATTATATACTGAAAATAATTATGTTTACAGGCAATATACCATTTAACAAAACTTAGTTGTTGTGCTCAACTCAACTGTTACAATGTCCTGAAACACCACACCTACCACAATCAGTGGTATAAGTACACTACAACACTCATACAAATGGAAATAAATTAATCCTCTGTGTACAATTTGCTGATAAAAAATTTGAGATCTTTGAGAAATGTCACCAAACCACAGATCTATACACTGTGATGATGTCCTTTGAACCTGATACAAACATGGCCACCAGCCATGCAAATTACGTCCTTTGTCAAGGAATCTAAAATTTGGACATAAAAATATCTCTTTGCACGAGGTTAAAAACCGCTCAATCTCTTATATCTAACACCGTCAGCTAAACAGAGTGAAGTTTCTACATTCAAAAAGAACACTTAAATCTTATGATGGAACACCATTTCTCCTGACTCAGTATGCAAATCTACACCCACTTCTGATATGGACCCGTTACCATGGTTTGTGGTTTTATCCAGCGTGTCACCACTGTATCAGTGGTGGCTGTACTAGACATCTTAAGAGGAGCTGGCCACATATACCTATATACGGGTGGTTTGAACTTCAATTTCTTCTCCTCCTCTGCAGACTTCTTCTTACGTTTTCCCTGTATTCCAAGTAAGGCTTCGGCCTTTTCATTGTCTGTGGGTTCTGGTTGTCCAGCCTCCAAACGTTTCTTCATACGCCGTTCTTTCCACATTTCCAGCTTCCTCTCATACTCGTACAAACCATGGTATCGGTTATTCATAGCTTTATGTTGATAGAACACTAAACTAATCCTGGTAGGATGATGCCGGTTAGGGTTCTTCAATGCCGTGGTTGCATGAAGCTCTCGCTTTGCACATTCAAATAATATAGACCCATGAGAAAGAGCAATGGCAACCCCACCCACCTCCTCATCATGAAAGACTTCCTCATTGTCAGAGTGATACTCAAAGTCCTTAGGGGTATTGTCCACTGGCACAGAAGGTAAGGTAGGGGGTTGACCTGATAAATACTGATTATTATCATGTTGATTCTTGTTATTGGTATCAAATATAGTATTTTGAATGGCAGTGTTGTTAGCTGATGGAATATAATTGTTAGCATTTGCAAGATGATGATCAGCAACTGGCTGTTGTTGCATATTGCAGTTGCTGCTGCCCTGAGCTAATGGCGCTGCTGCAGTATTCTGACTTTGATCATATATTGCTTTATTACTGATCTCCTGAGGTAAGCTGCTTCTCAGCGAACACTGTTGGGGAATCTCAGATTTTATATCACCTTGAATGGCACCCTTTGGAAAGTTCTGATTCACCAGTCTATTGTTAACTTCAGGATGTCCACGTTTGTTTTCCAGATCTCTAGACTGGATTTCCACAGCCATGGTCAACAGATCAAGTGGTGAGAGTCCTGCTGCCATCTGGTGGCTGGTACCAGGAGCCTTTGGTTGTTCTTTGCCATGATCACCTGCTGCCATCTGTTGGCCAGTAACATGAGCTCCTGCTGCTATCTGTTGCCCAGTACCACAACCTCCTGCTGCCATCTGTTGGCCATTACCATGAGTTCCTGCTGCCATCTGTTGACCAGTGCCATGAGTGCCTGCTGCCATCTGCTGGCCAGTAACATGAGTTCCTACTGTCACCTGCTGGCCAGAAGAATTCCCTCCTGCTGGTGTCTGTGATCCAGGATGTGAAGCTATGTGTTGTGTCTCTGCATGCTGGCCTAACTGAGAAAGGGGATAATCTGGTCGGTTTCCATTCATTGGTTCTTGTTTTACAGTTTGTTGGGCATTCTCTTGTCGGTATTGTGGAAAAGTACCCTGTGGCCAGCCCTGCTTCTGCTGTTGCTGCATAGCAAGATGACATGGACTTGGAATTTCATGCTTAATATTGGAATGCAGTGGTGAGGTCGGTACAGATCGACTGGCTTGGATATTTTCTTGTTTCAGCTTGTTGATTAAATTGTTAGTTTGTTGCATATTATTAATCTGATGGTGACCCTGATGATGTTGCTGCTGTTCTACCAGGTGCTGTTGTCTCTCTAAGTACTGTTGTTGTTGTTGTTGTTGTTGTTGTTGTTGTTGTTGCTGCTGCTGTTGTTGTTGAAGAAGATGGGGATGAAGATTTGGGTTATTTCCAGCCTGGAGAAGCTGATCAATGGAATGCCCTAACTTATTTTTATTCTGTTGATTTGCCTGATCTTTATGGATGTTGTCCATACTAGGTAGACCTGCTGGCCAATGTGGAAATCCTCCATAATTCATCATGTTGCCCCCCATTGGAAACCCTTGCTGTACATGTGGGTGCATGGGCATCATAGGGAACCCCCACTGAGGGTGGACTTGGGGGATTTCTCCCCCCATCATGGCTGTTTGCTGCATCATCACATTTGGATACATAGGCCGTAGCCCCATCTGTGCCTGCCATTCTGCTAGCTGGCGGTCCTGCTCCTTCTGATACTGTTGCGGGACCATTTCTTTCTTAAATATCTTTGCATTGCTGTCAGAGTAACCTTCCCAGTTTGATCCCTTGTTCATCTCCAATTTCTTTGGTTTCCTTTTTGCTTTCACTTTGTCAACAACTTTCTGTGCCAAAGGACTGCTTTGATTAAGATGCGCAGGAGATTTGACTCTCACTGGTGACAATTTTCTACGGCCTGGGCTATCTTTAGACTTTCTGTCTTTACTTCTCTTCTTACAAGGTGTGAGGGGCACTGCCCGCACTCTGGTCTCCATCGGGTACTTAGTCAACACTTCCAAGGCCCCAGATGCAATCTTTCTTCTTGTTTCATCAAAGGTCCCATCTTCTCCAACAGCATCTAATTTGTACAGAGGTAAAACATGGAGTTGTTCATCATCTGGTTTCTCAAAGCCACGGTGCTTGGTAAGAGTCACAACCTGTAAAAACAACACCAGCAGTGGTTTACATATGCAAACTAAAGTTTGCGTCAAAATTTTGGGTCCATCAAAACTGTTCAGCCTTAATGCAATTTCAACTGAAAATGAAGAGATACAAAGGAATATGTTTGACTTTTAATTATTTATAAGCAAAGGTAAGTGGCAAACAGGATATCCCTGTTTCCTTTTTCATTTTTACTCCACTTGTTTCAGTAGGGTTTACCGGCACATCAAATGAGTGACAATGTATTTCCAGCCGTACTTATTTGAAAACAAAGGCAAACAAATGAAAGTTGCTTTTACAATGACAAAATATCATATACAGAAAACCTACCACAGTGCTTCCATTATTCATGTTGTGTACATCTTTGTGAGCATGAGCACAGAAGTCTACACAAGCTGTGACCCCTGAAAATGGCCGACCTGGGTTGTTTCCCAACCTGCATTCCAAAGCCTGGTTCTCAAACTGGACCTGGGTGCAAAACAAGATGGAAGTTAATACCAAAACATTGTACATAGTCGATGAATTTCAATTTTTTCTTTCATCTAGTTTTATTAAGTTTCTTTTCTTACATGAGAAATATAATAACTCTCTTAAATCTATTTTACCACATATATATACAATGGCTGATTAAACCTTAATCATAATTATTTTTAAAGTAGCAATCTAAATACTCTTCTTTCCATAGTAAAAAGCAAATTTGCAGCCACAACTTGCTTTGGATTACACACTTCAACTTTGTGGTAACAAAATCTACATCTACTGTCTATTATAACAGGTCCTGAAGTTTTTTTACAAGCACTGATAAGTGAACATCCGAGATTTACAGTAATATTCCCAGTGACAAATGTGCCACCTGTAGATGCACAATGTGTGTATGAAATGTACAATAAAACTGTCTCTCCCACCTGGTTGTTGTAGGCATCTGGAGCCATTTGTTTGTACAGTGGACCTACATGATCAGCCAGGTGTTGCATCCTCGTCTCCATGTTACTTTCCTAGAAAAACAAAGGTACAACTACATAGTTTAAACAAGGAAAACGGTAATGTACAATTGCTTGCAACTCTGGTATATTCTTACACTGTATAAATATCTTACTCAAAATTGTTTCAAAAGATTTCTAAACAAACTTGTATGAGTGAAGTACCAAAATATTCTTTTCACACAATGCATGATGATATTCAAATGCCACTGATTATTAATTTTCCATGCTTGTACTACCAACTCCTTCCAAGCTGAATGTAATAGAAGACATCAATACTCACATGATCAGGACACTTGAGTTTAAACTTTCTAACCACTTTACTCCTGGCAAACTTGCAGCCATTGTAGTACATGCTCCAGGAGCAGCCAAATGAGAAAGAGGCTCCCCTGCGGTCGTCATCCCAGCCTTGGCATGCACAAGTTCTCCTAAAGACACAGACAAATAGCAAATATTTATCAAAGATATCCATCTCAATACACAGCACAAATAGATAATGTCAATGTTATCTACTTAATTAGATGGTAAGATAGCATAAATAAGAAAATATAGATTTTTTTCATTCAATAAACCAATCAAATTTTTTTCTGGTCCCCTTTTCCTTAAACTGAGTTGTATAAGATAACTTGATTTGTAGCAACTTGGGGTTCAGTGTTATTCAACTAACATGTTACAAATAAAATACACGATGTCTTGCTGTTCTATTTATGTAAATAAACACAAATCCGTATGTCAGTGTGTGTGCGTGTAGGCATGTGTGACCATCATGAGCGTGTGATTCTTGCCTGAATAAAAGAGTATCAAATTATACACAAATATAGAATAAAACATTTATCATAAAATGTGCAAATGAGCTGAAGCACAAGCAAAGCTGTAAATAGGTATAAAGCATGGGCACATGGTGGAGCAGATAGAAACATGGTGATTTCAACTGGCCTTGTGCAGAAGAAATATAGCAAACAGATATGCTATTATTTGAAGTATCAAACTTTTCAACATTTTCATGTAATTTAAGACCCATGTATAATATGGTTGTGCAGTTTGTCTTTGACTGGAGATTTTTCATGCAAGCAGGTTTAAAAAATAAGTCTTCACACAAACAAATGCTAGAAAATCTTTGTAAAACATGTACGGTTTCTGTTGATCAGATTCCCTCTACTTGAGAAACAAGCTCGTATCACGGAGAAATACTCATCTTAACAAGTTTTCTAAATACTAAACGGCTTCTAGTAATTGGATTTCTATGAATAACAACATACACCACTTACTGTGAACCCTTAGTTATATTTACGGATACCAAAACAGACTGCAGTTTAATCAAAGATATTGTAAAAAAAAAATTACTTTTGTAGAATGCTTTTTTTATCTAGCTTAAATTGTGTCGTTATTTTAAACTCTTCCAAAAAAGGTGGGTATGTTTTTGCTGCCCTACAGTGTATCTACTGTCCAGACAAGTATAATGGGGCCTCATGCATAATCTTGTAATGTCTACCTTACATTAGCCTTTGTAGACCTAACAACAGTCATATTCCCCTTACCTGAGATGTCAGGCGACAAACTCGCAATGTTGTAGCACATAGTAACTCCTCTTGTACAGCAGTTAGTTAGTTCAGTTTATCTTAAAGTGACATCTTGTCACTGGTAAATGACTCTGATTGGGAAGCTGCATTTCCAGGTACCTGATCAAAGGACTATATTTCTCAACCTTTTCAGAAAAACTTTGCTGCCACAATGATAGTGATAAGCCCCTGGGTCACCAAGATGGACAGACATCCAGGAACAAGTACATTAGTTTAGGTTACCACTACCATATAGCTACATCTTTACAATGCCCATAAAATTTTTTTTCCCTTTATTATTTTGTAATGTTCCATTATAGGACAATCCAACCTTGTCTTCGTATTTATATTTGAGGCAAGTATATGGCGATACATTTGAGGACGCAACAATAAGCAAAATCTCCAGTTTGACAAACTTCCACAACCACCTACCCACATCCATGTACACCTTTTGAACATTGCTATGAGGGCCGCGGGACAGGCAGGCAGGAGATCTGGAAATAACTTACTCTACATTAGTGCCACAACGCCGATCAGTTTCAAACCCACACTCAGGCAGGGTATGGATCATGTAGTCATACAAGGAACCTGCTTGCTCCTCAGAGACACCTTCCCATAATACTATGCTGACTACTATAACTGCCGATTCACAAAAGTGACCCGCTCTTCTTTTTACCACACACAAAACCTTTTCCTCGGTGCCTGCTCTTCTTATTACCTAGAAGTAGGCAAAATATGTTATAACCCTGCATAAAAAGAGACACAATTTCATGATATACTTACTCTTCATTAGTTCCACACCTGCGTTCTGTTTCAAAACCATTGTCAGTTACAGTTGAGCGTAAATAATTATACAGGTCATCTGCATGTGGGCTGGGGATACCCTCCCATAATACAATATTTATGACAATGACAGCGGTATCACAGTGGTGACCAGCCCTATGGCGAATAACAGTAAGAACTTTCTCCTCTGGGCCTGACCTGCGTAATATCTGAAATACCAATGGTAATAAATGCAGCTTCAAAAAAGGAGTTAACATTATCAGGTGTGTTTTTTTTTTTTATCTTTCAAAAGGCAGGACTTAAATAGTGTGCTTTTTCTGTTCAAGAAATAAAAAGAGTATTACAATACTGGTATTGAATACAACATGACTATTTAATGTTTAAGACACGATTTATGTCATTAAACTTTCAGCTGCATGTTATTCGTGTTAAGAATCCATGACACATTCTGTCCACATATTTCCTCTTTCTATCTTCCATGTATAATACAGACAGCCTTAACACACCAGATTTCTCCATGCACTACCAATAACATACCCATTTAGCAACAGGGCACCCCCGACTACTCTTTCCCTCCTTCCCTGTGTATACGACCTTTTCTATCCGTACTGCTTTGCCACCCATTCCAAACCTGAAATAAATTAACATAGCATGGAAAGTCTTTAAGTACACAGAAAACATCGGGATATAAAATATGACATTAGGTCCTTTTATTGCCGAATCTCGACAACAGACACATTCATATGCTAGGCTAGGCTGGTCTATAAACCATCTTTATACCTAGTCTTGTGAAATTTGCTGCAATAATGATTGTAAAATATATCATCTTCACATGTTAAAAAATTAATTCCTTTATGGCACACAATTATATTAGAAAAAAATTTATATAGAAATTAGAATAACAGTGAGCAGGATTAAGCCATTAAGTACAAGTTTCTTTCTTTATTATGATGTGTAAAGTGTGTGGTTTTATTTTTTTATAAGAAAAATAACCACCAGAAGGATAATGATATCCCTTTAATTTATTCTTTATAATTGTGTGTAAAATCATGATGATAAACAAATTGCCTTTCTCTTCAAAAATAAATATTAAACTTAACCTAAACTGCAAATGACAAAAGATCATCTCAAAACAAATAGAAAAGCAAAGTTTACAATACTGAAATTTTCAAACAGTTAAAAATCAGAGATATCATCACTCTTAAGATTTCAATACCTCAAAATAAAAATCAATAAAGTACTGAGTCACTAAAAATAAACAGATGCATGAATACATAGGGATGTGGTGAGCAGACAACTTACATTCTTGAAACACCGAATTAATTAAGATGCTTTAATCAGCAAGTGAGGCTACAGGTGTTATACACTAGCAGTTAGTCCTGCCAACCTTTATAAAAATGGCAAAGAGGTCAGCTAGAGTGACTTTATCGTTTTTCTTGAGACTTGCTCTTTTAATTTGTATATTACACAGCCAAACATACATCAAAATGTAACTAGGGTTCTTGCTTTCAGTTTCATCAAATCTCTCATTAGCAGTCAGCTGAAAGAACATGCCTGTCCCTTGTTCAGTTAGCCTGATAAAGATATTATCAGCCTGTCACGTTATCCAGTACTGGCAAGGTTTTACGATGGAGTGACACCTGATAAGTATCACACAAAGGGAGTGATAATGTATGGTGATTATAGCTATGCACACAGAGTGGGAGACACTCTTATGCTGAGAGACAGAGAACATTTATATGAATCTTTAAGGTTGAGTACTACCTCCCTTCTCTTGTGTCTACTCCAAACAAATTTCTAATCTGTTGCCTGATTTTTGACAGTCTTTCCTAGGCTTCGATATTTCTTTGTCTGATCTACCTCACCTAACATTTTGGAATATTACAGATAATGACATAATTCTTTACGATATTTCAGCAAAATAATGCTCAACTCAATAACAAAAATATATTAAGAACATCAAGAAAATATGTTAGATGTGACAATGTTTTGTGAAAAGCACTTTTCCTGCCCTCTGCACTTTCATATATGTTGACAATACCATTTCTCTTGGTATTTTAACACTCATGTGATAGGTCAGTCTGCATCAATGGACTTATCAAAAACCAATGTGTGATAAATCTTTTAGCATTAAATATCTTGCATGTTCTGAAATTCCTTATATGCTAGGATTACATGCTAAATTACTCTCTCATTTCAATAACCTGATGCTAATGAGAAGCAAAATAACCTGAGGCTCACATTACAAGTGTAATTTTATTCCTACCTCATAAAGCTATGCATTTTACTATTACCTGCAGAAATTTCTACCTGGTTTATAAAATGATTCATAATGAATTTAAAGGTGACTTTGTTACCTGTACCTTGATTTTGAAACCCTTGTTCTTTATTTAAGCATTCATATGAAAGAAAATTGTATCAAATAACCAAATTCATATACCACCAGTTATAAGTAACCTTCATGTCAATAAAGTGATATCATTCTGGTGGCAAAATTATCATGTAACACGTGACCCATCAGTGAAACAATATATTTAGAGTTTAAACCATTAAGATATTTCATACAACATTGACATGTCAATTAAACATCAAACAGAGAGTAAGCACCGTAAAGATACAATTTTTTTCATATGAAATGACATATAAAGACATAACTATGATTTTTTGTTCTCATTAAGTGAGTACTGCCTACCTGTCTCCCATCAATTATTACCTACCTCCTCTCCATCAGTTCTCTTACAGCCTGGACTGTAGACCCAGCCCCCAGGTGTGTGTAGTATGGTCCCTCATCCTTCTCTTTAACACCTACAAGTGGAGACATGGGTACATATAGAAAGTTAAAAACTTCATAAAATGTTGCAGTTTACAAAATACTGTGAGACTTAAAAGGAAAGAAGTAAGCTTTTGTTGAAATTTTTACCTTTATTTTTGGTATTGCTATATAATTTGCATTTGTAATAATCAGCGTATTGAAATATATTACAGGAACTGTGCCTACTTGAAAACCCATAAAAAGGACCTTTCAACACATCCTAAAAAGTCATCAACATTCAAAGCATTTAGAGGAGAAAAACTTTGTTTTCCACCACAGTAAAACCTACCTTCTGGTCCCAGGCACCCACACTCAGGCACCTTGATAGGTTGGTTAAGTTTCAGTCTCTCAAACAGCTCGTCATGCTCCTCAAGGGTATCGGCCACTGCATCAGTGGTCAGATGTCCAGTCTGGTCACCAGCTGACCCCTGCACACCATTGACCAGATCAGCTGGCTGGAGCACTTTCTGCGGTATGAAAGCATTGGGCTGGACTGGCATTGGTGGCACAGAGGAGGACAGTGCCTGTGGACCAGAAGTTGTTAAAACATTGTTTCCTTTTGTGTTGTCAGCCTGCTGTGTGGTGGTATCACAGTGAGGGGTGGATGTCGAAGCAGGCTGAATGTGATCTGACATAAATTGATCTTTGCTGTTACCGGAGAAGTTGGTGTTTGCAGAGTCTCCAGGATTGGCTCGGATTGACAAAGGTTCCACCTGGTGGCTGTTCTCTCTCCCAGAGAACCCTGGGAGAGAGGCCATCTGAGATAAATGACCAGGTCCATTCTCAATACTTGCTTTTAATCCATCTATTCCAGGAACAGCGTTGTTTCCTGTAAATGAGTTCCTGGAATCTTTTGGAGTCCCTGGATGAAAGCTATTCAGAGGATTTATCCAGTTGTTGTACAGAGTTTCTCTCTGCGTTTGTGCTTGATGGAATGTCCCCTCCTTTACCCCCTCAGTTACCACACTGGGGCGAGTTGCTTCAATTTTGTTCATGTAACTAGTATTTGGAGCCCCCTCCTTATCTATTACTGGTGACACACTGTTCATCTGAGCTCTAGGTGGGGTTCTGGACTCAATTCTTTTCTGAACAATTTCCCTTACCAAATCTTTTGAATGGACACCTTTCCCTGATAGATTCTGATTTTCAGTGCATCCTTTTTTGTTCCCATGTAAATGTTGAGAAAAGGAATTTACATGGTTTATGTTTTTGTCATCTCCATTCTTAAAAGCTTCATGAAGCTGTTCACGGTTTCTATTAGCGTCTCTTGGGAAAATAGCAATTTGGTTTTCATGTATACCTGTAGGAAAACCTGACTGTAATTTAATATGCTCTTTACCTCCATCTCCCAACTGTTGTTGAAGCTTGAATTCTATATTTTTAGCTATGAAATGTGGCCACATTTCTGAAAGTAACTGAGGGGGTTCTGCCCTCTGGAGGGGAAAACTTGAAGTCAGCTCCACAGAATGTCCATTCATCCCTGGCAGGTGTTCTGGACACTTGTGTGCTTGTCTTACCTGTGAGGTAGGATTGATATATATCTGTCAGTACAATACTTCACCCATACATTCACTTCAGTCAATACATTACATTTCTCATTTACTACTACACAAAATAATTATCAAACTGATCTAGGTTACACAATTTTAATGTATGGACATGTTCATGAGCTGTGATATGTAACATCAAATTCATTGTTAACAGTCTTCACAGCAATGCATACAAAAACATAAAATGATGAACACACACCTTTTTCTCTGGTGGTTGCTGTTGACCAGGCACAAACTCCTCGCTAGCCTGAAATATAATTTGAATCAAAATTAATAATGTTTACATGAGCTTAAACTTGCATCATTAAGATAAAACAGTATATAGTTCAATTATCTGATTCTTCATTTATCTAGTGGGGATGTTCTATTTTACAACCTCTACCAGCTATGTTTATTAAAAACTGAATAATGCACTCAATGTTTATTGCATACATAGAGAAAATAAAGCAACAGAAACATGCTCTCTACCTGTTCAAGGGTTTTTATATATAGTATTTGGTATGAATGAAAAACTGGTTGTGCATGTTTGTTATTACGCAGACAAGTATACTTGCTAATCAGCCTGCTGATCAACTAGCTTTAGTAATGCCAATTTTCAGTAGGTGTTACTGTGTAGGCATTGCACTGAATTACCAATCCACTCAACAGATTAAGATGCTTGAAATGACATAATTGAATGCCACTATGGAATAACTAGTTATTGTTTTCTCAATTGGTGTTTCTCTTCAGTTTTCATTAGTCACATGTATTTACAACCAAAATTATTGTTAAATGGAGCTTACAGTAAATCAATTTATATATATATTAATCATTCTTATTTATAAACTTTAATCAACTTTTATAGTGCAAAGTCTACTGAACATTTTATGGATTTTAGACCTTAAACAAATATATTACCATATTACTATAATAAACTCACCTATAAGGATGAAGATGTATCAAACATATGTACTTTTGTCTTTACATTTAATATTTTCAAGAACTCTATTCATTATATAATGGTGAAATATTATACAGCGTATTACAGTCTTCTCAAAAGTTTCATGTACAAAACATTATGTGAGTCAAGCAAGGGAAAATGGGCACCCAAACAGAAGTATGATAGCAATCAAGGTCAAACGCAGTCTACATCAACAATACATTCTCAGTTTTGTGTACCACTGAATTGCAGTACAATCGCCTGGAAGCATTAATATCAGACTACCTAGACAAATAGTAGGTAGAGTTAAGAGGATTACCACTGCACTCTGGTATCAAGCCTGTCTTTTCTCATTCCGTCACAAAGTAAACACCAAAACGAATAGGACTGCTTGGAATTTTAAGGTGTAAGAATGGTTTTGTAGCAGCGGAGTCCTGACTTCAGGTGTAAATGTATATCAAGACACCTGTTTAATTCAATATTAGGTATCAACAGAACTATTATCATACCAGCTTTCAGTAGTTTTAATCTTTTTAAAAGGAATAAGTATAGAATAACATTTTAGAAGAAAAAGAGCCTTAGAAAGAGCTGGTTGGATATCAGTCCCTTTGATGATATTTGACAAGTGCTTAGGTAAGTAGGACAACACCTACTGATAACAAGACAGCTAAAGGCTGGAACCATTCTTTGCAAATACATACAGACCTTTTAATACATGACCTGAATGCATTATTGATTTACCTTTATCACAATGATAAATGTAATTATAATACAACTCCATACCCAAGCCAATATATGGGTTATACAGTGTTTGCTTATTGATTTTTATCCCAGAGTTGAATCTTAGCTCCTAAGGTAATATTTCACTGCATCCTGTACATGTGCATGTGCACCCATGACCCAGAAGTGACTCAGACAGTGACTGGCCTATTTACATGGGGCCTAGCCAGACACGTCAAGGGAAGGAAAGAAAGGGTCTACCTTGTACTGTGCCAGACANCGTCAGTACAATACTTCACCCATACATTCACTTCAGTCAATACATTACATTTCTCATTTACTACTACACAAAATAATTATCAACCTGATCTAGGTTACACAATTTTAATGTATGGACATGTTCATGAGCTGTGATATGTAACATCAAATTCATTGTTAACAGTCTTCACAGCAATGCATACAAAAACATAAAATGATGAACACACACCTTTTTCTCTGGTGGTTGCTGTTGACCAGGCACAAACTCCTCGCTAGCCTGAAATATAATTTGAATCAAAATTAATAATGTTTACATGAGCTTAAACTTGCATCATTAAGATAAAACAGTATATAGTTCAATTATCTGATTCTTCATTTATCTAGTGGGGATGTTCTATTTTACAACCTCTACCAGCTATGTTTATTAAAAACTGAATAATGCACTCAATGTTTATTGCATACATAGAGAAAATAAAGCAACAGAAACATGCTCTCTACCTGTTCAAGGGTTTTTATATTTAGTATTTGGTATGAATGAAAAACTGGTTGTGCATGTTTGTTATTACGCAGACAAGTATACTTGCTAATCAGCCTGCTGATCAACTAGCTTTAGTAATGCCAATTTTCAGTAGGTGTTACTGTGTAGGCATTGCACTGAATTACCAATCCACTCAACAGATTAAGATGCTTGAAATGACATAATTGAATGCCACTATGGAATAACTAGTTATTGTTTTCTCAATTGGTGTTTCTCTTCAGTTTTCATTAGTCACATGTATTTACAACCAAAATTATTGTTAAATGGAGCTTACAGTAAATCAATTTATATTTATATTAATCATTCTTATTTATAAACTTTAATCAACTTTTATAGTGCAAAATCTACTGAACATTTTATGGATTTTAGACCTTAAACAAATATATTATCATATTACTATAATAAACTCACCTATAAGGATGAAGATGTATCAAACATATGTACTTTTGTCTTTACATTTAATATTTCCAAGAACTCTAATCATTTTATAATGGTGAAATATTATACAGCGTATTACAGTCTTCTCAAAAGTTTCATGTACAAAACATTATGTGAGTCAAGCAAGGGAAAATGGGCACCCAAACAGAAGTATGATAGCAATCAAGGTCAAACGCAGTCTACATCAACAATACATTCTCAGTTTTGTGTACCACTGAATTGCAGTACAATCGCCTGGAAGCATTAATATCAGACTACCTAGACAAATAGTAGGTAGAGTTAAGAGGATTACCACTGCACTCTGGTATCAAGCCTGTCTTTTCTCATTCCGTCACAAAGTAAACACCAAAACGAATAGGACTGCTTGGAATTTTAAGGTGTAAGAATGGTTTTGTAGCAGCGGAGTCCTGACTTCAGGTGTAAATGTATATCAAGACACCTGTTTAATTCAATATTAGGTATCAACAGAACTATTATCATACCAGCTTTCAGTAGTTTTAATCTTTTTAAAAGGAATAAGTATAGAATAACATTTTAGAAGAAAAAGAGCCTTAGAAAGAGCTGGTTGGATATCAGTCCCTTTGATGATATTTGACAAGTGCTTAGGTAAGTAGGACAACACCTACTGATAACAAGACAGCTAAAGGCTGGAACCATTCTTTGCAAATACATACAGACCTTTTAATACATGACCTGAATGCATTATTGATTTACCTTTATCACAATGATAAATGTAATTATAATACAACTCCATACCCAAGCCAATATATGGGTTATACAGTGTTTGCTTATTGATTTTTATCCCAGAGTTGAATCTTAGCTCCTAAGGTAATATTTCACTGCATCCTGTACATGTGCATGTGCACCAATGACCCAGAAGTGACTCAGACAGTGACTGGCCTATTTACATGGGGCCTAGCCAGACACGTCAAGGGAAGGAAAGAAAGGGTCTACCTTGTACTGTGCCAGACATAAATCCTATTTAGTGCTCTACTGATTAAAAACATATTCCACTCACTGGAACTGAGCAATAAGTGCAAAAGAGCCACAAATAAACCCTCGAGGACATGTTCCTTTAAAACCAGATATGTCAAAAATCTTTGTTTGGGCTGATTCAGTTTAAAAGCTAATATCTATGGTAGATGTAAGTTTAAAAGCTAATATCTACCATAGATGGTTGGTGTTTCAAGACATGACTTCTGTCAATAAAGGTATGATTTTTCTTAACCAATTAAGAATGTCATTTCATTAAAATATTAAGTTTATAGAACTGAGATTTGATTGGACCTCCTTTTGCTACACAGGAAATCTTATACTACCTGCATGTGTAACTTTTTTTACTTTTTTACTTGTTAAATGGGACATTCAACAACAGCATTAATATGGAAAAGCAAAACTGTAAATTTCTTATAAAAACACTGCATTTATTCCATTATATGAATACTAATTGCATTTTCACACTTGAGGTCTGCTTATTCTGTGGCTGCACTTATACTACAAGTTAAAACAACACCTGCAGCACAAAGGCATCAAGATTGCATGACGCAGAGGAAAATATAAAATCCATATAGAACTACAGCTTGTGTAAAATAACAGGAAAACTATACCAATATTGACATGCTATGTAGCATGTAGCCCCAGCCTACAGGTAAAGCCAAGGATATTAAAGGTCAAATATATGCCAGACAGATACCTACAGAGTCCAAGACACAAGTCTTACTGTAAAGCTTCACAGAATCATCAAATTTAGCATCACTGCCATCTGGTCAAATTAAATGCACTAGCAACTTTGTAATTTAAAATAAAAATCCTCAAAGCATCAAAATCTGCCTGCACTCATCATAAAAAAATCTTTTATTGTTTTTCCTTAAAAATGTTTCGTTGTAGCTCATTTTTCTCGCTCAAAACAGTTTCATGAGATGTTATCATTTACGGTATGTTACTTGCTTAATCCAGGCAGGACAGTGTGCCTCTGGTCTTCTGCCTAATTCAACAGGACTATCTTGTTTAAATCATACCAATTTGCGATGAAATTACAACAACTTCTCAGAAGTGCATTCAAACCACGCGCACGTGTTTTATTCTAAAAATAGCCTGACCTAGATTATCAGTGTGCGTAATGTTTATACACAGGCCAAGTCACATGGCTTAATACCATTAGGCAGCGCAGAAATATCACCCGCTTTTAACTGACAGCTGAGTACCTCTTAACTAGGTCTGAAATACACTTCACTCTAGATTATGTGCTATATCACACCAATATGCAGACATCAGGTTAACTTCCCTCTACATTACATACACCTCATATCAATAATCGCAATACGCTTTCATACATACACCATACATATGCATTTATACCATTACCTTCTTCCAGTGGACTACATGACGCTTCACACATCTATCTGAGTCCCCTTGGCGACAATTTTCACAATCAGAGCATAATTTTTCCGTAGCTTCTCCTGGCACTTGGTGAACTGGTCGTGAAGATTGGCGCAGTTGCTCAGATAAATGATTGAAGGAATATTGGCTGGATGGAAGAGAGGTTTTGGAAGCAAGATCCCTCTCTGCTACATGTGCCATGACATTCCTGAGGTCCACATTTGGGGCCACGGTTTTGTTACCGTGGTTGTTCTCATTGCTTTTGCTGGCCCAGGATTGGCTGTCTGCTTGGGAGCTACTCCAGGGATCAGTTATAAGGGTGCTGTTTTGCTTCCAGGGGTCTGTTAGTGGGTTGCTTGGCCAGGGGGTTCCTACTTGTGGGTAGCTGTTATAAGGGGGAACTTGTGGGTCCCAGGGAGGCTCTGTTTTATGCCCACTCCTTAAATGGGCATTGGAATCCATCTTAGTTCCCCACTACAAACATTCTGAAATGAAAACAAGGTACAACTATTTTGTCTCATACTTGTCACATCACTTTTGGATTGAAAACCATTTAAATTAGAAAACACAAAAATATGCAAATGCCTTCTCTTGATAATAGGAATTGATGACCGTAATGAATATAGAATAATATGTTAAAGAAATGTCCAGACAATATGTCTATTTTTTCTAAAAGTAAATTATATTAAAACAGTCATCTTCAAATACAATCCTTCAATTTTTTTCATTTTCTCATTCAACCATCATATCGTAAATGTTAGATTTTTGTGCATATCGACATCTATAAGAACTTATCTCATCTTTTTTTTTATGACATTACCATTCATGACACCACATATTTGTGGTATTTGAAATATGTTATCAATACATATTTCTTTGAAATTAGGATACAATATAAAATACACTGTTCTTATAATGAATAAACATGCAATCAACTGTGAGTATGCATACAGTTAACGGATGGTCTATTTTTAGAATGACCTACATAATCCATGTTTACAAACCGCATGAACTTGCGCAGACTTTATTCTGAGGTGAATCTGCTTCGGGCATGACAGTGCACCAAATGCGATGTGACAGGGACTTAAACAACATGATGGGATGTTCTTCAATTGCTTTCAGCCAGTAAATAACACGAATCTTACTAAATATTACATCACTGTCTTTTGGTGTCTTTATGTTACTTCTGTTCTAGTTTGACACACCAAATAAAAATAAATTCTGTAGCTAGGGGGGATTTCCAGAGGGGATTTCCCTTCTTTTAAATAAACCAATCTTGGAAGAAAACTTTTGTCAAATTTAGAGTAAATCATGTTTATATGTGAAGAAAAATAATCTTTACAATATGCAACACTATAAATTTGAAACATAAAAATATACCATACATTCAAACTATCCCAAATCCCAAAGACTATTACTTGAAAACATTTGGTAATTTTTATAAAGTTAATTATATCAGGGATCAAAACAGAGTTGTGACATTATTATAAAACATAATGTGATACTCACAAGCAGCCTACAGAAAGATATTAATATTGNTGTCAGTACAATACTTCACCCATACATTCACTTCAGTCAATACATTACATTTCTCATTTACTACTACACAAAATAATTATCAAACTGATCTAGGTTACACAATTTTAATGTATGGACATGTTCATGAGCTGTGATATGTAACATCAAATTCATTGTTAACAGTCTTCACAGCAATGCATACAAAAACATAAAATGATGAACACACACCTTTTTCTCTGGTGGTTGCTGTTGACCAGGCACAAACTCCTCGCTAGCCTGAAATATAATTTGAATCAAAATTAATAATGTTTACATGAGCTTAAACTTGCATCATTAAGATAAAACAGTATATAGTTCAATTATCTGATTCTTCATTTATCTAGTGGGGATGTTCTATTTTACAACCTCTACCAGCTATGTTTATTAAAAACTGAATAATGCACTCAATGTTTATTGCATACATAGAGAAAATAAAGCAACAGAAACATGCTCTCTACCTGTTCAAGGGTTTTTATATATAGTATTTGGTATGAATGAAAAACTGGTTGTGCATGTTTGTTATTACGCAGACAAGTATACTTGCTAATCAGCCTGCTGATCAACTAGCTTTAGTAATGCCAATTTTCAGTAGGTGTTACTGTGTAGGCATTGCACTGAATTACCAATCCACTCAACAGATTAAGATGCTTGAAATGACATAATTGAATGCCACTATGGAATAACTAGTTATTGTTTTCTCAATTGGTGTTTCTCTTCAGTTTTCATTAGTCACATGTATTAACAACCAAAATTATTGTTAAATGGAGCTTACAGTAAATCAATTTATATATATATTAATCATTCTTATTTATAAACTTTAATCAACTTTTATAGTGCAAAGTCTACTGAACATTTTATGGATTTTAGACCTTAAACAAATATATTACCATATTACTATAATAAACTCACCTATAAGGATGAAGATGTATCAAACATATGTACTTTTGTCTTTACATTTAATATTTTCAAGAACTCTATTCATTATATAATGGTGAAATATTATACAGCGTATTACAGTCTTCTCAAAAGTTTCATGTACAAAACATTATGTGAGTCAAGCAAGGGAAAATGGGCACCCAAACAGAAGTATGATAGCAATCAAGGTCAAACGCAGTCTACATCAACAATACATTCTCAGTTTTGTGTACCACTGAATTGCAGTACAATCGCCTGGAAGCATTAATATCAGACTACCTAGACAAATAGTAGGTAGAGTTAAGAGGATTACCACTGCACTCTGGTATCAAGCCTGTCTTTTCTCATTCCGTCACAAAGTAAACACCAAAACGAATAGGACTGCTTGGAATTTTAAGGTGTAAGAATGGTTTTGTAGCAGCGGACTCCTGACTTCAGGTGTAAATGTATATCAAGACACCTGTTTAATTCAATATTAGGTATCAACAGAACTATTATCATACCAGCTTTCAGTAGTTTTAATCTTTTTAAAAGGAATAAGTATAGAATAACATTTTAGAAGAAAAAGAGCCTTAGAAAGAGCTGGTTGGATATCAGTCCCTTTGATGATATTTGACAAGTGCTTAGGTAAGTAGGACAACACCTACTGATAACAAGACAGCTAAAGGCTGGAACCATTCTTTGCAAATACATACAGACCTTTTAATACATGACCTGAATGCATTATTGATTTACCTTTATCACAATGATAAATGTAATTATAATACAACTCCATACCCAAGCCAATATATGGGTTATACAGTGTTTGCTTATTGATTTTTATCCCAGAGTTGAATCTTAGCTCCTAAGGTAATATTTCACTGCATCCTGTACATGTGCATGTGCACCCATGACCCAGAAGTGACTCAGACAGTGACTGGCCTATTTACATGGGGCCTAGCCAGACACGTCAAGGGAAGGAAAGAAAGGGTCTACCTTGTACTGTGCCAGACATAAATCCTATTTAGTGCTCTACTGATTAAAAACATATTCCACTCACTGGAACTGAGCAATAAGTGCAAAAGAGCCACAAATAAACCCTGGAGGACATGTTCCTTTAAAACCAGATATGTCAAAAATCTTTGTTTGGGCTGATTCAGTTTAAAAGCTAATATCTATGGTAGATGTAAGTTTAAAAGCTAATATCTACCATAGATGGTTGGTGTTTCAAGACATGACTTCTGTCAATAAAGGTATGATTTTTCTTAACCAATTAAGAATGTCATTTCATTAAAATATTAAGTTTATAGAACTGAGATTTGATTGGACCTCCTTTTGCTATACAGGAAATCTTATACTACCTGCATGTGTAACTTTTTTACTTGTTAAATGGGACATTCAACAACAGCATTAATATGGAAAAGCAAAACTGTAAATTTCTTATAAAACACTGCATTTATTCCATTATACGAATACTAATTGCATTTTCACACTTGAGGTCTGCTTATTCTGTGGCTGCACTTATACTACAAGTTAAAACAACACCTGCAGCACAAAGGCATCAAGATTGCATGACGCAGAGGAAAATATAAAATCCATATAGAACTGCAGCTTGTGTAAAATAACAGGAAAACTATACCAATATTGACATGCTATGTAGCATGTAGCCCCAGCCTACAGGTAAAGCCAAGGATATTAAAGGTCAAATATATGCCAGACAGATACCTACAGAGTCCAAGACACAAGTCTTACTGTAAAGCTTCATAGAATCATCAAATTTAGCATCACTGCCATCTGGTCAAATTAAATGCACTAGCAACTTTGTAATTTAAAATAAAAATCCTCAAAACATCAAAATCTGCCTGCACTCATCATAAAAATTTTTTATTGTTTTTCCTTAAAAATGTTTCGTTGCAGCTTATTTTTCTCGCTCAATACAGTTTCATGAGATGTTATCATTTACGGTATGTTACTTGCTTAATCCAGTCAGGACAGTGTGCCTCTGGTCTTCTGCCTAATTCAACAGGACTATCTTGTTTAAATCATACCAATTTGCGATGAAATTACAACAACTTCTCAGAAGTGCATTCAAACCACGCGCACGTGTTTTATTCTAAAAATAGCCTGACCTATATTATCAGTGTGCGTAATGTTTATACACAGGCCAAGTCACATGGCTTAATACCATTAGGCAGCGCAGAAATATCACCCGCTTTTAACTGACAGCTGAGTACCTCTTAACTAGGTCTGAAATACACTTCACTCTAGATTATGTGCTATATCACACCAATATGCAGACATCAGGTTAACTTCCCTCTACATTACGTACACCTCATATCAATAATCGCAATACGCTTTCATACATATACCATACATATGCATTTATACCATTACCTTCTTCCAGTGGACTACATGACGCTTCACACATCTATCTGAGTCCCCTTGGCGACAATTTTCACAATCAGAGCATAATTTTTCCGTAGCTTCTCCTGGCACTTGGTGAACTGGTCGTGAAGATTGGCGCAGTTGCTCAGATAAATGATTGAAGGAATATTGGCTGGATGGAAGAGAGGTTTTGGAAGCAAGATCCCTCTCTGCTACATGTGCCATGACATTCCTGAGGTCCACATTTGGGGCCACGGTTTTGTTACTGTGGTTGTTCTCATTGCTTTTGCTGGCCCAGGATTGGCTGTCTGCTTGGGAGCTACTCCAGGGATCAGTTATAAGGGTGCTGTTTTGCTTCCAGGGGTCAGGTTTAGGAGTGCTGTTTTGCTTCCAGGGGTCTGTTAGTGGGTTGCTTGGCCAGGGGGTTCCTACTTGTGGGTAGCTGTTATAAGGGGAAACTTGTGGGTCCCAGGGAGGCTCTGTTTTATGCCCACTCCTTAAATGGGCATTGGAATCCATCTTAGTTCCCCACTACAAACATTCTGAAATGAAAACAAGGTACAACTATTTTGTCTCATATTTGTCACATCACTTTCGGATTGAAAACCATTTAAATTAGAAAACACAAAAATATGCAAATGCCTTCTCTTGATATAGGAATTGATGACCGTAATGAATATAGAATAATATGTTAAAGAAATGTCCAGACAATATGTCTATTTTTTCTAAAAGTAAATTATATTAAAACAGTCATCTTCAAATACAATCCTTCAATTTTTTTCATTTTCTCATTCAACCTTCATATCGTAAATGTTAGATTTTTGTGTATATCGACATCTGTAAGAATTTATCTCATCTTTTTTTTTATTACATTACCATTCATGACATCACATATTTGTGGTATTTGAAATATGTTATCAATACATATTTCTTTGAAATTAGGATACAATATAAAATACACTGTTCTTATAATGAATAAACATGCAATCAACTGTGAGTATGCATACAGTTAACGGATGGTCTATTTTTAGAATGACCTACATAATCCATGTTTACAAACCGCATGAACTTGCGCAGACTTTATTCTGAGGTGAATCTGCTTCGGGCATGACAGTGCACCAAATGCGATGTGACAGGGACTTAAACAACATGATGGGATGTTCTTCAATTGCTTTTAGCCAGTAAATAACACGAATCTTACTAAATATTACATCACTGTCTTTTTGGTGTCTTTATGTTACTTCTGTTCTAGTTTGACACACCAAATAAAAATAAATTCTGTAGCTAGACAGTTCAGAGGGGATTTCCCCTTCTTTTAAATAAACCAATCTTGGAAGAAAACTTTAGTCAAATTTAGAGTAAATCATGTTTATATGTGAAGAAAAATAATATTTACAATATGCAACACTATAAATTTGCAACATAAAAATATACCATACATTCAGACTATCCCAAATCCCAAAGACTATTACCTGAAAACATTTGGTAATTTTTATAAAGTTAATTATATCAGATATCAAAACAGAGTTGTGACATTATTATAAAACATAATGTGATACTCACAAGCAGCCTACAGAAAGATAATAATTGCGACATGGTGACAAAAAAAATTATAAAACTACCATCAAAACGCGGCTATCTGCCTACGTCAAAGTATAGCACACGGCGGACATACTTTTAACAAGTAGCCAGTTACTGCATATTGACCCTGAAGTATTGCATATGTTCTGTATAAATTGTTCGGTCTAGTGTTTATTCAAGCCCTAGGTTCGCGCCGAGGAACGCGTAAAAAGGCATTGCCATAACCAGGCATTTAACTCCAGTCGATATATTTTGTCAACTTTCCATTGTTTTCAAACACAATCTGCGAGCATGTTGCAGTGTTCAACATGAATGTAAATGAGATTTAAGTTTCTTCTTGAACACTGCCTAAGCGATTTTCCTCACGCATAATAATGAGCTAGAGCCGACACGCACTCCATCCAGCTTTAAATGGACATGGCCATTTAATCAGAAACTACTATAGTCGACGTCCATTTTGACCCAGACATACACATTATACTACGCTCATTTTACTGATACTTATCGTTTCTTCAAAATTAAAATACACCTTTTAAAGATCTACATACATTACTCTATTTTTCAAAATTATTTTCTTACCTAAAAGGTAACCACATCATCTGTAAACATTCGTTGTTTCGTGGTGCACCCAAGCAAACAGCAACTCCGGTATGCAAATGAGTTGACCGGGTAGACAAGGTCACGTGATCCGCAGAGAATGACATTCAGGTCAATGATTCGATAAAAAGGATAAAGAAAAACTAGGGTTTCTTTTCCCTGAATATGCCGTTCAGGTTAACAATATTAGTACATGCGAACTCTTCCATCCGTATGAAAAAAAACAAGTGTTGTTGATTACCAAAGTAATATTAATCACGACTTTCAACTATTATATAGTACACATGTATGTATGTATGCCTAACTCATGAGTGGTGTCACGTAACGTAGGCCTA